TCCCTAGGGTATAATTTTGACAGCTTCTGTCCACATCCTGACCCCGGTGATGCCCCGTGACCCCCAGGTAAAGTGCACGCCAGCCCTTCGATGACTCAGAAAGCTCTCTCCATCCACAGCGTCCAAGTCCAGAGTCAGGTCTCAATGTAATCAGCTCCCAAGCCCAACACAGCTCAGGTGTTGATAAGGAAGGACCCTTAGTCTCACTAACTCTGGGCATCTTTCCTATCTATTCATGGACGTGTGGCATTACAGTGATGTTACATGCCCTACACCTTCCGCAGACACTAATGGGACAAGCATGGGAAGAGGCAAAGATTTCCATTCAAAGCAAAGATTTGAAGTTATCAAGTCAACACAGCCTACATATCTGCCTGGACTGCGCTCCGGCCAGGGTTCAAAGCTTGGGGATGCGGTAATGGTAATTCCCCAGACTCTCTTCTTCTTCCAGCTCTGGGTTCTTAGCTTTTCCCACACAGGTTTTTGGTTTTGCTCTTGTAGGTGATGGCTTGTTTGTTTTCGGGAAGGGGGAAGTCATTCTCTCAATTCTGCCTGCCATAGCACTTACTTGGCTTTTTAATATAACTCATAACTCATATTCTTTTTTTTTTTTTTTTTTTTTTTTGTCGGTCGTGGGGCTTGAACTCTAGGCCTGGGCGCTGTCCTTCAGCTCTTCAGCTCAAGGCGAGTGCTCTACCACTTGAGCTACAGCGCCACTTCTGGTTTTCTGGTGGTTTATTGGAGATAGGAGTCTCACAGTCTTTCCTGCCCGGGCTGGCTTTGAACTGTGATCCTCAGATCTCAGCCTCCTGAGTAGCTAGGATTACAGGCGTGAGCCACCAGCGCCCGGCTACTCATATTCTTAAGAAGTCCATACACTAAAGCCGAGCACCAGTGGCTCACGCCTGTCATCCCAGCTACTCAGGAGACTGAGATCTGAGGATTGTAGTTCAAAGCCAGCCCAGGCAGGAAAATCCCAGAGACTCTTATCTCCAATTAATCACAGAAAACTGGAAGTGGCGCTGTGGCTCAAGTGGTAGAGCGCTCACCTTGAGCTGAAGAGCCCAGAGTTCAAGCCCATGAACAACAACAACAACAACAAACAACAAAAAAGCCAGCTAAGGGGCTGGGAAGGTGGCTCAGTGGTAGAGCGCTTGCCTTGCATGCATGAGGCCCTGGGTTCGATTCCTCAGCACCACATAAAGCAAAAAGAAAAAAGCCAGAAGTGGTGCTGTGGCCCAAGTGGTAGAGCACTAGCCTTGAGCTGAAGAGCTGAGGGACAGCGCCCAGGCCCACGACTGGACCAAAAAAAAAAAAAAAAAAAAAGCCAGCCAAGACTCTCTCCCATCTAAGATTTCTTTCTTTCCTTCCTTCCTTCTTTCTTTCTTTCTCTCTCTCTCTCCTTCCTTCCTTCCTTCCTTCCTTCCTTCCTTCTTATCCTGGGCCTTGAACTCAGGGCCTGGGCTCTGTCCCTGAGCCTCTCTGTGCTCAGGGCTAGCGCTCTACCACTTGAGCCATGGCACCACTTCTGGCTTTTTCTGAGTAGTTTATTGGAGATCAGAGTCTCACAGACTTTCCTGCCTGGGCTGGCTTTGAACTGCAATCCTCAGATCTCAGCCTCCTGAGTAGCTAGGATGACAGGCGTGAGCCCAGCATCCAGCTTAATATTAGACACATAACGAGCACCCCCCAGGATCTCATCCAAACACAAGTCAACCCCCCCCCAGACACCTAGCGTAATTTTGGCAATGGCAGCTAAATCCCTTCCACACACACTCTTGGACCCAGGGGGAGCCCGAGCCCAAGCTGTGGTATGTGACAATGAGGGACAATCTGTAATCTCACGAACTGCAGCACACAGGGGCCAAGGTAAGGACTCGTGAGGCTCCGAAGCCTGGATCCGGCTCCTCCTGATTCTGCCTCCCCGCGAGTCTTTCTGTAGAACAGAGAGGTTCACGCTGCTCCCCCCACAAGCCCGAGATAACATTGGTAACAAAGAAAGAAGAAAATGGACCAGAGAATGGTGGTGAGCTGGGGGGTGGGGGGTGTTCCAGGGTTCCAAGCAGAGTCGCGTGACCTGCTGAGCTGTGCGCACAGCCCATTCCCGGCACTCGGGCCTTGGTGTGGCCCTGGTCTCGCGGGCAGCGGTCACAGAGGGTTCGGTGCCAGCAGGGCACATAGGGAGGGGGAAGGCCCAGCGTGGGGATGAGAATCGCACCAACCGAGCTGCAAAGAAGTCCATGTTCCAGCCCCAGGAGATAATGGAATGGAAACCACTTATCAAACGCCTCCTGTGTTTGTAAAAACCTTATCTCCTTTCCTTCTCCAGGCCAGCCATAAAGACCTCCGGGCTCTGTTTTAAAGTGAGGAAACAGCCCGGCACCGGTGGCTCACGCCTGTCATCCCAGCTACTCAGGAGGCTGAGATCTGAGGATCGCGGTTCAAAGCCAGCCTGGGCAGGAATGTCCCTGAGACTCTGATCTCCAATGAACTACCAGAAAACCGGAAGTAGTGCTGTGGGTCAAGTGGTAGAGCGCTCACCTTGAGCTGAAGAGCTGAGGGACAGCGCCCAGGCCCAGAGTTCAGGCCCCACGACCAACAAAAAAAACAAAAACAAAAACAATAAAGTGGAGGAAACACGATTTGTCGCCTGGTGGTTAGGTTTGGTGGAAACACACCCCAGCCTGAAAGTTTTCCGTATCAGTCCTTGGTCTGTAAAACCAGGGTATCATTTGCAGAGCTTCTAGAATGTGTATGGCTAGCTACGACTTCTCTTCTCCAATCAATAACCTTTCTTAGGGTCGCCTTTAAACACTGACGATGCCAAGTTCATTCACAAATAGGTTCCCAGTGGTAGCTCACACCTGTCATCCTAGCTACTTGAGAGGCTGAGATACCTGAAGATTGCGGTTCAAAGCCAACCAGGTAGGAAAGTCCATGAGATTCTTATTTCCAGTTAATCAGCAAAAGGTAGGAAGTGGAGGTGTGGTCAGGTGGTAGAGTACCAGCCTTGAGTGAGCAAAAATAGCCAAGGGAAGAGCGTAAGAGTGTGAGGGTCCTGAGTTCAAGCTGCAGTATTGGTGTGTGCACCCGTGCACGCATGCACGCACACGCACACACACACAAATATACCCCTTCCCTCCCCCCACCCCCCCAGCCAATGTTAGCCCTGCAGAAATCTCTTGGACCATGGGCTTCTCTAAGAGCATGTACTCTTTCTCAATTTCAGATTACCCAGTGAATTTACACACCAGCAGTCAAACGCGGGTGTTTTATTTCAGGCAGTAAACTGTGTTGTTTTTTTTTCCTTGCCAGTCCTGGGGCTTGAACTCAGAGCCTGGGCGCTGTCCCTGAGCTGCTTTTGCTCAAGGCTAGCGCTCGATCACTTGAGCCACAGCGCCACGTCTGGCTTTTTCTGTGTCTGTGGTGCTGAGGAATCGAACCCAGGGCTTCATGCATGCTAGGCCAGCGCTCTACCACTGAGCCACCTTCCCAGCCCCGGTAAACTGTCTTTGTCCTGCGTGTTTTGTCTCCCTCCATATAGTCCGTTGTGTCTTATACACGGAGTCCTGAAAGATCCTCTCCACTTGCGAGGAGAAGCCGCTGCTGTCTTCCTCTAAGGCATTGATGGTTTGCAGGGCCAGGGGCGTGCGGGCCCGGGGTAGGGCCTTGTTCAGGGGCCGCATGGGTATGACGGAGTTGTACTTGTGCCGCCGGTTCACCGAGTTCATCAGCGACGTGTAGAACTGGAAGTTGCACCAGGTGTCCCGTAAGAAGTTCTCGGTCAGCAGCAAGATGGTCCAGGCGGAGCCGTTCACCGCGTCGTCCAGATTCTGCAGGTGCTGCCGGCCGCAGGGCATCTCCGCGAAGATGAGGCCCGGCCTGATGCCAAAGTCGTTCTGCAGCAGCTCCAGGACCCGGAGTGCCTCATCGGTGTCGTCTTCCGCATGCAGTATCACAAACTTGAGGAACACGTCTTGTCCTGCCTCTTCTTCTGGAACCTTCTCCTGGGCCCCGGCTTCCTCCGGCTCTCCGGCCTCTGTGCAACCACCACCACCGTGCCCTGCGGAGTCACAGGACGCAGCTTCCCCGGCCCTCTCGGCTGCGGACTCCCGGCGGCCCGCAGCCGTCTCCACGCTGCGGCTTTTATGCCAAGAGAGAGAAAGAGGACAGGCGTCTATTTTAGACTTCCCGGTACCCATTGCAAGAGTCCAAGGCACGGGAAGAAAGCGTTATCTGCTCCTCAGCATTTCCTTTCCAATCTACAAGGAGAAATAACAACAGAGGAGAAGAGTGTCAATAACAGAATTAAACCTTAGCCTGGCGCACCGGCGGCTCACGCCTGTCATCCCAGCTACACAGGAGGCTGAGAACTGAGGATTGTGGTTCAAAGCCAGCTGGGGCAGGAAAGTCTGTGAGACTCTGATCTCCAATGAGCCAACAGAAAACCAGGAGTGGTGCTGTGGCTCAAGGGGTAGAGCGCTCGCCTTGAGCTGAAGAGCTGAGGGACAGCGCCCAGGCCCAGAGCTCAAGACCCACAACCAACAACAACAAAAAGAATGAAATCTTAGCCTGGCACCGGTGGCTTATGACTGTAATTCTAGCTTCTCAGGATGCTAAGAGGAGCACAGTTCGAAGCCAGCCTGGAGAGGAAAGTCTCTGAGACTCTTCAAATAAGCATCAAAAAAACAGAAGTGGAGCTGCAGCGGAAAGTGGTAGAGTGCTAGCTTTGAGCACAAAAGCTCAGGGACAGAGCCCGGGTCCTGAGTTCAAGCCCCGGAACCAACACACACACACACACACACACACACACACACACACGCGCACACACACACACACGCACAATCACACACACACACACAATCACACACACACACACATACACACACACACAATCACACACACACACACGCACACACACACACATACACACACACATATACACACACACACAATCACACACACATACACACACACATACACACACACATACACACACACACAATCACACATACACACACACAATCACACATACACACAATCACACACACACACAATCACACACACACACAATCACACACACACAATCACACACACACAATCACACACACACACACACAATCACACACACACGCACACACACACACACACATACACACACACAATCACACACACACACACGCACACACACACATACATACAATCACACACACATACATACACACACACACAATCACACACACACACACGCACGCACACACACACACAATCACACACACAATCACACACACATACACACACACATACACACACACAATCACACACACACATACACACACACAATCACACACACACACAATCACACACACACACACAATCACACACACACACATACACACACACACACACACACACATACACACACACACACACACACACAATCACACCTTACTTGTGAACAGGAATGGGAGAAGAAAATCAAAGGAAACGGGGAAATATCAAAGGAAGGGATGATATTGTCCAAAAAAGAAAAAAAAAAGTTATTTGGGTGAGGCGTGTGGCTTAGTAGTAAAGTGCTCGCCTAGCATGCACGAAGCCCTGGGTTTAAGTACTCAGTACCACCTAGGCAGAAAAAGCCAGAAGTGGCACCGTAGCTCAAGTGGGTCAAGTATTAGCCTTGAGCAAAAGAAGCTCAGGGACAGTGCCTAGGCCCAGACTTCAAGCCCCAGGACTGGCAAATACTACTACTACTACTACCACCACTACTACTACTACTAAAACAAAATAATATATTACTACTCATCTCTGAAGTAGGCATGGCGTGCCAATGGTATGTTAATACCCATGTCACTAGCCTGATAGCCAGTGTCCTTGGTTTCCATCCAGTATCAAATATGCCTCAGTTACACTGGTACATCAAACCAGATTAAGGAAACTTTTATTCTTGGTGATAATGAGATTTGAACTCGAGGCCTCCTGCTGGCTTGGCTGGTGCTCTACCACTTGAGCCATTTCTCCAGCCTGCCTTTTTTTTTTGGCTGGTTATTTTAGAGATGGAGTCTTTGAGGAATTTTTTGTTGTTGTTGTTCTGGTTGTGGGGCTTGAACTCTGGGCCTGGGCGCTGTCCCTCAGCTCGAGGTGAGCGCTCTACCACGTGAGCCACAGTGCCACTTGTAGCTTTTTCTGCTTCTGTGGTGCTGAGGAATCGAACCCAGGGCTTCATGCATACAAGGCAAGCACTCTACCACTGAGCCACCTTCCCAGCCCTTTGAGGATTTTTTTTCTCCCCTGCCTGGGTTGGCTTTGAACCAAGATCCTCTTTCTTGTCTGAACACCGCCCTCTGGTGGCAGATGTCTGTAAAAGCAACCACTGTGTCACTTGTTTAATTCATATTTTTGCTCTTAGTAAATCCTTGATTGTTGTTAATCACCAGGGCTCACGGGAAACTTGTGCTACACGGCAACTTGCCAGGTTTTTGTTTATTTGTTTATTTTTTTGTCGGTCGCGGGGCTTGAACTCTGGGCCTGGGCGCTGTCCCTCAGCTCTTCAGCTCAAGGCAAGCGCTCTACCACTTGAGCCACAGCACCACTACTGGTTTTCTGGTGGTTCATTGGAGATAAGAGTCTCTGGGATTTTCCTGCCTGGGCTGGCTTTGAACTGCGATGCTCAGATCTCAGCCTCCTGAGTAACTAGGATGGCAGGCGTGAGCCACCGGCGCCCGGCCTACCTGCTGGGTTTTACTGATGTAAACACAGGATGGTTCGATGGACAGTTAGGTCCCACAAAGCAGACACCTTGTTCAAGCATCACATGACTCCAAACTCTGTGATGGGAGCACTTCACACTGCCTAGACTAAGATGGGAAATATTTTGCAGGTGGTGATGGTGGTGTGTGTGTGTGTGCGTGTGTGTGTGTGTGTGTGTGTGTACAATTTCCAAAGACATTTGAGTATCAGAGAAAGAAACACGCTATGATTACTTTGCACTAGGCAAATACCAGCAGGTAGCGAGGAGCTGGTTGAAGTGCTTTGGCGTGAAGAATGCGCCCCGTATTTCTCTGCAGCCTGGGGTGCTGCAGACAGTTGTGAGAAGTGCTGTTCTTTCTTCCTTCCTTCCCTTCATGTGGGTTTTCTGGTCCTAGGGCTTGCATTCAGGGCCTGGTTGCCGTCCCTGAGCTCTTTTGCTCAAGGTTAGCACTCTACCACGTGAGCCATGGCTCCACTTCCAACCTTCTTGGTGCTTAATTAGAGGTAAGAATCTCATGGGGCTGGGAAAGTGGCTCAGTGGTAGAGTGCTTGCCTAGCACGCTTGAAGCCCTGGGTTCGATTCCTTCATATCACATCCACAGATAAAGCTGGAAGTGGTGCTGTGGCTCAAGTGGTAGACGGCTCGCCTGGAGCTCAGGGACAGTGCCCAGGACTAGAAGCATTGAATATCAGAAATGATGCATTTGTAAGGTTTAAGTTGCTTGTTGTTCTGGGCTGTGTGGTTAAGTCTTGCTCGTATCTGCTACCGCTCCCACCCAGCGTGAGACCCTCTCTTGATCCAGTATGTCCACTCCCACGCAGGGGTCATGCAGTAGCTGTCCAGCAGGGGGATGAGCTGTCCTAGCAGTGACTGAGCTCAGGTAACCTTTACTTTATTTAATGGCGGCTGCCAGGCACAGATGAGCGGTGGTAATCTGATCACAGCACACCTTCTTCTATTGTGTGCTTAGTTACTGTTATTTTCTTTTTGTTGTTGGTGGTGGTCGGTCATGGGCCTGAACTCTGGGCCTGGGCGCTGTCCCTCAGCTCTTCAGCTCAAGGCGAGCGCTCTACCACTTGAGCCACAGCGCCACTTCTGGTTTTCTGGTGGTTAAATGGAGGTAAGGATTGTTAGCCTCTCTCCCTCCATCTTCCCACCCACCTGGTCTGCCACCTCAGACCTTCGGCAAAAACAAAACTTCCTTTCCCTGAAATTAGGTGAGGCAGGCTTTTACCTGAAATCAGGTGACACAGGGTTTTACCTGAAATCAGGTGACACTGGTGACTGTGATCTCCAATGGCAGCCTCTCCCCAAAACGCAATTTCCCCCTCCCTTGTTTGTGCAGCTACCACTGCAAATGTTAACCCCTTCCACCACGCCGTGTCCAGCTGTCACGGTCCACGTGACCCTAGCCCCGCTGCTGCTCTTTACCCACAAGGACGCTTGTCAGGCTACTGACATTAAACTCCTTCTCCTGGGTATGCAACCACGGGTCCCAGTGATTTTCCTGGGGAAGACTTAGTTTGGTGCCATGACTCAGGTCGGGACTCTGACATCCACCAACCTTGCTCTTCTCCCCTCTTGTGAAATCCTAGCTGCTCTGGGAACCCCAACCCCTCCAGCCCACCCAGAAAATCACCCCTCTCCCCCCGAGCTGGTCTCCCCCATCTCCTAGCGCCCCCACTTCACCCCCACCAGCGGCCATCCACATCCACCCACCTTCCCTGGTGTGTGAGCTCCTTCTGGGAACCCAGATTCCAGCGCTGACTTCCGAGAGGCTCCGTACCAAGCTCTGGGATTCTCTCTGGGCCTTTGAGCGGGCGGGGGGACCCGTGAACCGTGGGGTGATGATTCCTCTCCCCGGCTGCTCAGGACTTACTGGCCGAGGAACGCTGAGGGATGCCCACCGTCCCTGCTAAGCCCCTGCCGCTCGCTCCGCACCACGGAGCGTCCTCCTCCCCTCTGGGACGTCTTCTTGACCACGTGTGGCCCCTTTCCACGCTTGATGGTGTCTCGAAACGGCCACTTCCTGGGACCCTCCATCCCAGCATCCTATGGGGCTTTTACAGCTCCTGTGAGCGCTCAGAACAAAGGGGGAGAGAGTCCCCACACGCAAGGTTTGTCTCTCTAAGCCCTCCCTCGGAACCCCTGCTCCCCCTTCTCCCCCAACATGGCCTCCTCCCTCAGAGCCTACGGCAGAGCGCGGCCTCCTCCCTTCAGCCTTCCTGCCACATCATCTCTTTCTTTCCATCTACCACAGGCCCGGTTGCACTTCAGGATGTGATTATCCGGGACATGGAGATCGCCACCGTGTTCCCCAATACCCGTTTCACCTCAGGGCAGCAGACGAGATCGCAAACAGGACGCTACTTGTTAACGTGGCTGCCCTTCCCGGAGCTACACATTTGGTTCCTGCCGTGCCTAAGGCCCCTGGCCGACAGCTAGCCTGGGAAATACAAATGGCACCATGAACACCAAGACAGCTCAGGGAACGATTACCATTTCCCGGGTGTATGAGCCCCTCGAAATGGTGGTCCATATCATTAAAAAAAAATCCTCTAACAGACTTAAAAATTCCCTATCCTAGCTGGGCACCAGTGGCTCACGCCTGTCATCCTAACTACTCAGGAGGCTGAGAGCTGAGGATCACAGTTCAAAGCCAGCCCAGGCAGAAAAGTCCATGAGACTCTTCTGTCCAATGAACCACCAGAAAACTGGACGTGGTGCTGTGGCTCAAGTGGTAGAGCGCTCACCTTGAGCTGAAGAGCTGAGGGACAGCGCCCAGGCCCAGAGTTCAAGCTCCATGACCAACAACAGCACCAACAACAAAATTCTCCTTCTACAAGCCCCTTACCTGGAGAAACCTGCTAAACCAGTCTCTCCTTCTCTACGCTTCTAATGACAACAGCTTGTTGGCTCTGGTACCACTTAACATTTCTGCTAAAAATAGAACTTGCTCCTCACCCATATCACTGAGGGCCCCCAAATCTCCGCTTGCACTATACAAATTCCCCCGTGCCCTGCGGTGCTATACAACCTGTAACTCCTCGGTGACTTGTAACTCCACAAGTGTCCAGTCAGGTCTCAACATATGTCAAAGAGACATCTCCATTGCCTGGCCAGCCCTGCATACTGGCCTCTCCAGACCCTACACGGAGTTCAAAACCTTCTGCACCCTCCTCTTCAACCCACATCCAGGCTAACAGAGATGGGCCATTTTTCTCCCAGTCCTGGGCGGGGAGTGAACTTAGTACCCTTTGTCATCTCCGTAGGGCTGTCTGGTGGAAGTCTACCATGCTGTAACATCTAACCAACATCGAACCAAATGGCTACTCTCCTCTCTCTCGGGGGTGCCCCTGAGGTCCTACGCCTTTTACAAACTCAATTCTTTGGCTGATGTCACACTCCAAAATAGGAGAGCCCCGCACCTCCTCACGGGAGAAAAAGACGAGAGAGACATGCATCTTGTTCCGCGGTTGCTACTGTATAAACGGATCTGGACAGGTGGGGGAAAATATACAGGAACTACAGAAGCTTGCCACTAACTTCCGCGCCAGGGACTCGGCCTCCTCACTACAGTCCTGCCGACAGAGCCTGCTAGCCACGGGGATTTTGCCTCTGCTGGGTCCTTTTAAAGCCACTTTTGCTTCAGTTTTAATCTTACCTCGCTTTCTTAGATGCCTGCAAGACATCCTTAGGGAAAGAGCCGGAGCCTTCACCAACTGGACAGCAATCAAATGCCCCGGGGCATTACCTCGGGCTCCTCCCCCAAACAGGTCCGTGCAACCCATCCATCATCCAGCAAGAAGCAGGGCCAGGAGAGAGACCTCCACCCAGGCAGCCTACCGCGGTCCTCCCGCTCAGAACCGACCAAAAACGGAGCAACGTCAGCCTCTCCTCTTCTTACCCTGTCTGCCATCTTAGCCGTGTGGCAAAAACTAAACTTGCCCTGAAATCAGGTGACACAGGTAGTAGCTGCGATCTCCAATGGCAGCCTCTCCCCCAAATGCAATTTCCCCCTCCCTTGTTTGTGCAGCTACAACTGCAAATGTTAACCCCTCCCACCACGCCGTGTCCAGCTGCCACGGTCCACGGGACCCTAGCCCCGCTGCTGCTCTCTACCCACGAGGACATGTCAGGCTACTGACACTGTATTTCTTTTCCTTGTTTTGGGACCTAGTGTCTGAGTGATTTTCTTGGGGAAGCCTTTCAAGAGTCTCACGGCCTTTCCTGCCCCAGCTGGCTTTGAACCATGATCCTCAGATCTCAGCCTCCTGAGTAGCCAGGATGACAGGCGTGAGCCAGCAGCGCCCGGCTGTTCATTTCTTAGGACGCCTAGCTTACGAATTAAACTCTCACAGGTCTGGATGTGTAGGAAAACATAAAAAGCTCGCTCTGTGTAAGGAGGGCCTGGCAGTGTGTGTGTTTGGGGGGGGTCCCCTGGAGATCTCAAGAGGTCGTCCCCACAAACCAAGGTAACCCGTACTATAGAGCAGCCATGAGGATCCCGAGCAGAAGGGAAGGAGAGGAACCCCGGAGACGGGGCACCGAGAGGGGAAAGCCAGGGGGTGCAGGGCATGAACGGGAAGCTCACCACAGCTGCCGGCAACCTGGGGGAGGGGGAGGGGGAGGGAAGGGGAGGGGGAGGGAGAGGGGGAGGGGGAGGGAGAGGGGGGGAGAGGGGGGGAGAGGGGGAGGGGGAGGGAGAGGGGGGGAGAGGGGGAGGAGAGGGGGAGGGGGAGGGAGAGGGGGGGAGAGGGGGAGGAGAGGGGGAGGGGGAGGGAGAGGGGGGGAGAGGGGGAGGAGAGGGGGAGGGGGAGGGAGAGGGAGAGGGAGAGGGGCAGGGGGAGGGGCAGGGGGAGGGAGAGGGGGAGGAGAGGGGGAGGGAGAGGGGGAAGGGGAGGGAGAGGGGCAGGGGGAGGGGAGGGGGAGGGAGAGGGGAGGGGAAGTTGTGAAATGAGACCCCAGCGGCAGTCATGACTTTCAAAAGCATGGTAAGAATTTGGTGTTCATTTGGTGTCCGGGACTCTGAGGAGAGGACATCAGGAGGTTTCGAAGGGAAGTGAAAGTGTGGGCATGGAAGAGAAAAAAGCCACTGCTATTTAAAGGGAAGATAGTAGAGGGGCAAGACCAGAGCAGGGATGTCTATCTATCCACACACACGTGTATAATGTTATATTACCTACTATTATGTAGTTATATAATAGCACATATTGTACATAATAGATGTTACCATATACCATGCTACAGTATTCTATAATACGTATGTAATATGTATGTATACATATGTACACACATACATATATAATTACATAATACACAGTATATTACAATATAATATTTTATATAAGCATATCGTATTATTATATATGTCATATAATATATAATACCAAAAAGCTGCTCATGGCTGCCAACCCAGATTACTTTTCACCCAAATTAGCTGTAGAGAAGAAATCAAACAGAAGCAAAAGCATATATAATAACACATAATAAACAATATAAGACATAACATAAAATATAAAATAATATATAATAATAGAATAATGTATAATAGGAGCTCTTTTCTTTGTGGCTTGTGGGGCTTGAACTCTGGGCCTGGGCGCTGTCCCTCAGCTCTTCTGCTCAAGGCTGGCACTCTACCACTTGTGCCATAGTCCACTTCTGGTCTTCTGGTGGTTCATTGGAAATAAGAGTCTCATAAAGTTTCCTGCCCAGGCTGGCTTTGAACCGTGATCCTCAGATCTCAGCCTCCTGAGTAGCTAGGATGACAGGTGTGAGCCACCAGCACCAGGCTTACAGGTGATATTTAATAGAATGTATTCGTTAAATACTGTGAGAAATTTGTGAAATGTTTGTGAGGAATACTGTGAGGAGCAGGTGGCAGCAGATGGGAAGAGCCATGATTTATACCAACAATCCCACAATGAACATAACAGTAACATTTATGTGCTTCATAAGTCAGTAAGTCATTCTGTCTTTGGTCCTTGTTCAGCCAGTTTTTAATTAAGTCAGACACAAAATGGAATCACGTAACTGTCATCGCCTCCAGCATATGACTTGAGTGTTGGGAAAAAAAAAAAAGCAGGAATAGCCAGGGGCCCTGTGGCTCATGCCTGTAATCCCAGCTACTCAGGAGGCTGAGATGATGGATCAAGGCTTGAAGGCCACCCAGGTGGGAAAGTCTTGAGCCACTTATCTCTAATTAACCACCAAAAAGCAGGGAGGGAGTTGTGGCTCAAGTGGTAGAGTGCTGGCCTGGAGTAAGCATGTCAGGGATAGTGCCCAGGTCCCGAGTTCAAGCCCAGGACGGTCACCCACACTCAAGAATAATAATGGAATTGGAGATGACCTAAAACCATATCGAAAAGTCGCTCACAGCTGCGAGCCCGGATTACTTTTTACCCCCAATTAACAAGAAGCTAGACAGGCAAAAGCAATACCTCCACTGAGGCAGCCTATGAGTCATTCAGGGAAACACTGGGGTTCTGGAGAGGGTTCCCCTCCAGGTGTTTGAACATGAGCTTTGCAGCTGCTTTGGGGGTGCTGAGGAAGAAGATGGGGAGACCCTCGCCAGGCTGGGCTGTGCATGCGGGCCCTGGCTGGCAAAGGGAAGAAAGAAAGAAAAGCAAAAACAAAGGGAAAGGAAGGCGGCAGAAATAATAATAACAACGGCGATGACGACACATAGAAGGTTGTTAAGCCTTTCGACAGGGTACAGGGCCAGCTCCCTCACCCACAGCTTTTCTCCAGGGTGCAGCCGCCAGGCCAGGCCTCGGACCTGGTGCTCTCTACCCTGGCTGCCACCCAGCTCACCCCGACCCCATTCTTGCCTGGTCTGTAGCCCCCGGCCTGTCTCCTCTCCTCGGCTCCAGGGCACAGCGTGCTATGGCCTACCCGGCCAGGCTGGGCCGTGCTGTGCTTAGTCTGGGCAGGAGGAAGCAGCTGCTGGCCTCCAGGCGCGGAGGAGGAGGGGAAGTGGGTTTGGGGAACCGGTAGGCAAATTCAAGCTCCTCCTCGCTTCCCCCTTTAATTTCCCTCCTACCGGGAAACCCCAGAACCCGTGCCTTGGGGTTCCAGCTCCGGCAACTCTGGATGGGGGGCCAGTCCCTAAAGAACACCTGTAATACCCCACCTAGTCAGCAGAATGCAACGTTTTGGAAGATGGCGTCTGTCACAGCCCGCGGTGAGGAACGCAGTCATCCACCAGCGCTAGCCAAGCTACAGAGGAAGACACAGGCACAGAGCCAAGTACCCGCTTGTGGTGGTTTGAAGAAATGTCGTAAAAGGTGTGAGAATCACAAGGAAGATTGGTCTCATTGAAAGGACATCAGACTCAGGAATCGGCACAAACAAGGTGCCGATCACATGGTAACTCCTCATCTCCACCCTGCGCTCAGAATGCTCCCTAAATCACACATGTTGGGAGCTGGGAAGGTGGCTCAGTGGTAGAGCGCTCACCTAGCATGCATGAAGCCCTGGGTTCGATTCCTCAGTACCACCTAACACAGAAAAAAGCCAGAAGTGGCGCTGTGGCTCACGTGGTAGAGCGCTAGCCTTGAGCACAGAGATCAGGGACAGTGCCCAGGCCCTGAGTTCAAGCCCCAGGACTGGCCAAAAAAAACAAAACAAAACATACATGTTTACCTTTCTCAGGATGGTAGTGAGCTGTTAGTAATCGCCGGCACAGACAAGATGGCAGACCAGCGCTACTTCGACTTCTAAACTTGTTTTTCCATGAGATGGAGGAACAAGGACGGAAAAATAGGATTGCCTGCCCTGTACTTCCCTGCAGAATTTAGTCTTGACAGAGATCAAAATACCACCTTTGCTGTTAATAGTTAGAAGCACGTTGTTGTTTTTGCTTTTTCTGTTGTTGATGTTGTTTCTGGCCATACTGGGGATTGCTAGGCCAGCGCCCTGCATTCCAGTCATGCTCGCAGCCCAAGAACACGCTTCTCAACTTCTGGCAAGAGGTGAGGAGGAGACCACATGCCTGAACCAGTCACTGAACCACTCAAGTGCTGACCGGCCTTGGTGGGCCTGGCTGTGCCCTGGACGCCGGTCCATTCTGTTCTAACACCTGTGCTATTAGTAACTTGCATCCCTATCTTCTGTTGCATCAAGCCGGTGAGGCTCCTGGGGTCAGCTCGCGATGACATGGGCAGACACACCCTTCCCTACCGTGTCATGTGTTTTCATGGGGCTTGAACTCTGGGCCTGGGCGCTGTCCCTCAGCTCTTCAGCTCAAGGCGAGCGCTCTACCCCTTGAGCCACAGCGCCACTTCTGGTTTTCTGAGTGGTTTATGGGAGAGAAGAGTCTCACGGACTTTCCTGCCTGGGCTGGCTTTGAACCGGGATCCTCAGATCTTGGCCTCCTGAGTAGCTAGGATGCCAGGCACGGTGGGCATGTGTAGTTTTTAAGGACCATATATATAAGCAAAACTTTAAAGCAGGTTGCCCTGGCAGATGAGTGAGTGGGAACAGTGAGGTCCACAGGCAGAGCGCTGGCTCAGGGGAGATGCAGGGGGGCGGGGTCCATCCGTCCTTCACTGAAGGCAATGCTACACAGTGTCCACACAGCGGGTGAAGGCTGGCATTGGAGCTCCGCTAGCCCCGCCCGCCCCGGGAAGAACACTGCGAGGGAGGGTGCGGTAATGCACCCACACCGTCCAGGAGAGGCCTCCCACAGACACCCATCTGTACTCCTAAGGGCTCCCTGCCACTCCTGCAGAACTGTGTCCCGGGGTCAGACCGGAGGGAAAAGCTGACCGGTGAGTATGTACAGTTAGTTGAAAGGTAATCTACGCGAGAGCCTCGTAGGGGCCGGGTACAAGTCAGGCAGGAAAGCAGACGGGGCCTCTCCCGTCCAACCCTACCAACTGCACTCACCAGGCGCGTAACAGGCCAGGCCCGACAGAGACACGCCGAGTCAGCTTGCGCAAAGATTTTGTCTTTATTCTTCAAGAAAGTGGTCAGTGCAGACCCATGGAGCTAGCTTTTAAAGAGAAATTTCCTTTTCTTTCGAAAGTAAATGAAAAAAAAGTTCCTTGAATTGTTTATATATTAATTCGTTTAATTTCTGAAAACAAGTCATGGGGGTCTGCTTTGTCCTACTGAACTACAAATGTCATGTTTACAGACAGAAACAGACAACAGAGAGTGTAGATTTAAATATCTCTAAAGAATAAAGTTCCTTTAAAGTCCCCTTTTCTTTGAAGATGATCAAGAAGCCCGGATGAAAGCTGTGAACTACAAACCATTTCTTTAATAGAAAAAAAAAAAAAAGAATGTTTATAGATTATTAGCAAAGTAATACCTCAAAACTGACCCTCACCAGGTTGAAACTGTAGTATAAACTTGCATACCAAGTCACTTTCCATCCTCTACTTTAAAAATCTATACAACTACGGCATTCAAACACGTATTTCCCAGTCATCATGTCCGACTGTACATACTTGGGAAACTCACTTCTGCAGCTCGTTATGGAAGGATTACAGACGCAGAGGCTGTTCCGAATGACACAGGAGGAGGAGGACGGAGCGCTGCTTCACGTGTGCACGTGGCCCTCTTCCACTCGGGGTGGACATGGGTGAGAAGCAGAGGTCCACCTGCGGCCAAAGCCCATGCCTTGATACCCTCACCAAAAGTTACTTATGGAAACAGCCTCGCATCATGAAGCTTTCAGAGGCACCGTTAGAGGAGTGCGCTGTCTCTACCAAACACAGTAAGATCTGCACCTGGCTCTTTAATGACACAAGTATCTCAGCACGTCGGTGTCCGTAGGCAACCAGAAAAGAACCTTTTACATATGCATGGGCTCGATCACGTGGAGGCCAGGCCTTTCAGCTTCCCGATCTGTCTCACAGAAAGCCGCAGGACAACATCAGTCCAGGGCCCAACAGATAAAGCCTGCCACATCTTACCCGCTCTTCGTAACCCATTAACAAAGAGTGTGTATAAGGACTAGCTCTTTCAAAGTGCTGAAAACAGATTCGCCCCCGGACACTGCGACAAGCATGACACTTTCAATTCATTCTGCTCTAATGTGCAAACGTGTGAGTGTGTGTGTAAGACAGCTTAGAACTGAGAGTTAACTTCTTCTAGTCAGTAGAGTTCAGTGACTAGAATTGCCATTCAGAGTCCTAGGAATCAAATGCCCCAGTCTCTCCACATGATACCAATTTTCCGCCATCTCATATTCTATCCTGGAGTACCCAGAACAACATTTTGATTCACTCAAGTCAATCTGTACCAGCTTTAAGACACAAACAGTCCAAACCCTACAGGGTATGGACTATGAATTATTTAATACTCATTCAGTGAAGTACAATGAAGATTATCAAATAGGTAACACACAAAGCATTCTAACTTTTGAAATAAATCGCTTTAGGCTGCTAACCAGAGACTAGAAACAAAACGAGCGAACACAGAAAACACACCTCTCAAGCTTCTCAGTGCCTCACACCCACACCGAAGTATGGCACTTACAATACTAATGTCACAACCACCAACTCAAATGCATGACCTGAAGCACAAAAAGCAAGAGCCAGCCTACACGTGGTAAAATGACATGCCACCCGCCGTTTCTTTGTAAAATCAGGGGAGACACCATGAGTGCAGTCAACCCAGAGAAACTTTCTCACTGTACTTGTTAGAACAGTCTGAGAATCAAGTCTATATAAACTCTACTCAGCTATTTTCTGTGGGGTCAGAATGCTTTTATAAAACAGAACAAAAAAGCCCAAACACAGTGCTAGTTACAAATTTTAGAATAAACCCAAACAACAAAAAATTGGGCATTACTGAGAAATAATTACTGAGAAATAAATTATAACATGATACATCAATTAATATTGTATCAATATTAACTAACATTTCTATGGTAAGATTTGTCCCTCATAAAAATAAGCAGTGCAGAATAGGGCTTGGGCTAGTTAGATCACATTTGGTTTTCTTAAAAACACAACTTTATTCACTATAAACAATTAAAAGGCAGCTCTCTTCCTCCATAACATGTAGATGGTTAAACCTAAGGTTTTAAAAATATCAACTACCTATAAGAAAAGTATTTTTAAATGATTAAAAGGAATCAGAATACCAAAGTTTAGTGTGTGAAGAGTAGATACAAACAACCGAGAAAAAAGTAGATCACTGGTGTTGAGTATCGATCACGAACAGCCCACGTAAGTCCCAGCGGGTTTCCACCGTTAGGAGGTAAAAAGGCATCCTCCGCAGTTTGGGGACGCGCCCTCAGCTCTCTCCGGGGAGAGTGAAGGGTTGAGATGCTGCCAGCGGCGGTCCTTCGGTCCGGAGATCAGAGGACGGCCTGTCACCACGGAAACCGGGCCTCGCCTCTCCCTCCGGAGCTAGGATCCCACGCGGGTCGTGGTGGTTCTTTTATCGGAGAAAAAGCTTTTCAGTAGGAACACCTGCCCGATGCTGACCACCAGAAGGATGAGGGCCTCTCCCACGGACCAGTAGGCCACTCTGGTGTTCAGATCCTCTGCTCGGCTCCGGCCCTGGGCCTCCCTCAGTCGGAAGTGAGTCTGGTAGTCGATGACAGACTTCAGAGCTTCGTGAATGGAGACACAGGCGGATTCCATCTAAACAGGAACACCACAGTCAGTGTGCTTAGTGCTTCCGCGCTCAGCCAGCAGGTTCACCCTCTCCTCCGGTCCCAAGCCCCTGCTGGCCTGTCCACCAGCACTCACGCGAGCCCGCGTTCATACCCGCTGTCCAGCAGCCAGGAACTCACTAAGCAAGCTTCCTTCCCACACAGCGAAATCCACTAAGGAGCAGACGCAGGGCACTTACTCACAGAGAGTGCAGCTGACCAAAGTCCACACGCATGCGTGCGTGCACGCACACACACACATTATACACATGTACACACATACACACACGTGGAAAAACAGAACCCCTTTGGACAATTAATACATGCTAACACAAAAAGAGAAGGAATAAAAATATAAAAAAGAACGTAAACGATAGCCTTAAGGAAGTGTGCTCACCCGAAGCACTGAAGAGAACATTTCTTAAAACAAGAGCAGCTACCCGCACCCTGCTTACGCCTTCGCCTCAACTCAGGCACCTGAGCGAAGGCTGCTGCGCAGTCATAAGATGCCTGCCTCTAACGCCTGGTCGCTGGCCGGGAGACCGCAGGGACCCGGAAGCACTGGAAGACCAGGGGAGGCTGTGCCCGCTAGGTGACCAATGACTGCTTTCACCACGCGGCTGGGCAGCTTTCAGATATGACCTTAAGTATTCTGAGTGTTAAGAACTGTATTTGAACTGGAAATAAAGCAGTACCTGCTCAGTGGCTTTAAAGTTCTTTCTCTTCTTAACCTTTCCTCAAAACCAAACCCAATTTCCCTTCCACACCTCTTTTCCTCGATGACTCACTACTCCTCCTCAACAGGTCACCTGGGGTGAGGGCCAGGCAGACGCAGTGGAATCAGACAGCAGTGCCCAAGCACGCAGCAGGCCAGGCGACTGGGGCCCCAGTGACACCCGCTCCCAACGTCCCGCTGCAAGCTAGCAGCCGCAGACGCCCTTCACAGCACGCCCACTCTCAGCCTTCCTAAGCTTCCCCGAAACACCACCACCGTTTCTCCTGAGTGAGAGCTGTGTCCCCCAGAAGCCCTCATGCCAAAGACTTGGCAGCTCGCACCACACACTAGAGAGGTGCTGGAGCCTGGGGGGCGGAGTCTCGGGGAAGGAGGTGAAAGGTCACTGGGAGTGAAGCAAACCTTTCCTGGTCACCCCAGGTACCTGTCTCAGCAGTGGAAGGCTGATGGACAGTGAGCTCTGGCCTCTACACCCCTTCACTCTCACAGACCCCATTATGCTTCTGTAGATCAAACTGTTCCTTCCCTTTCATATAGCAAACTGATTTTTGGTTGGTTGTGGGTCTTGAGCTCTGGGCCTGGGCGCTGTCCCTCAGCTCTTCAGCTCAAGGCGAGCGCTCTACCCCTTGAGCCACAGCGCCACTTCCGGTTTTCTGGTGGTTTCTTGGAGATCAGAGTCTCACGGACTTTCCTGGCCGGGCTGGTTTGAACCGCGACCCTCAGGTCTCAGCCTCCTGAACAGCTAGGATGACAGGCGTGAGCCACCAGCGCCTAGCTCTTTTTAAACTAGTTTATTTACCTGGGTAAGAGCACTGGCCTGGTTCTCATTGGGAAATAAAGGTGGGTCTTCTCCGACTTGAAAGTCAAAATACACGGTTTTATGTGTGAAAGTAGAAAATTCATTGCTGAAGCAGAATTTGTAGGTCCCATTTCTGGAGGCCGTGAAGGTAAAGCTATCATACTGCTTCTTCATCTCTTTGTACAGCACCTTGCCGTCCGGGTCCTCTAGTCGACAGTCTACATCGTAGTGCCCCCCAGTGATCACCTGAGGGAGATTGGGGGAGGGAGAAGGAAGGAGAGAGGGGGAGGGGGAGAGAGAGAGAGGAGGTCACTGCACCCAACACGTTTGAGAAAGCAACCAAAGTTAACACAGCAATAAGGCCTGGACCAGGGCCTTTACCTATCACACTCACTTTGACATTTTCTGATGTTCGGATTTCTGTTTTACTTAAAACGTTATAAAACCTGAACATCTTTCTCATGACAGGAGACAGAGAACATTCAATCACTTCAAAATAGCCAATGTGCAAGTTAATTCAGGTCCACTCCATCACTTAGCTCAGAAAGTTACCATAATATCGACTCAGTATGTGTGTGTGTGTGTGTGTGTGTGTGTGTGTGTATATCAGTAGAACACTTTGAACTTTGGACTTCAAAGGAGGAGCTGTTACTTATATGACCCTTTGTTACTTTGAGGGAGGTGACTCAACTATGTTACAAGATCACTTCAATCATTAAGTGAAATATAATTATAGGCTTGGAAAACTGTGCGATAGTGGAAGTATTAATGAGTCCATAAAAAATGTTGGCGTTCCTGGGGACTGGCCCCTGCCTCACAACGCGCTCTTCCACTGCGCTGCGTTCCCACCCAGCCTGTTCTGTTTCTTGAAGCAGGAGCTTGCTCAGTTGCCCAGGCTGGTCTGAAAGTCATGGTTCCCCCGCCCTGGCCCTCGGAGCAGCTGGTACTATTACAGGCGTTGGTTAGCAGACTGGGCCAGATAAAAACAAACAAACAAACAAAAGGCTCAAGTGGTAGAGCACAAAAGCTCAGGGACAGCACCCGGCCCAGAGTTCAGGCCCCATAAGCAGCACACAAAAAGGACAAACACAGGGCTGGGAAGGTGGCTCAGTGGTAGAGCGCTTGCCTCGCATGCCTGAGGCCCTGGGTTCGATTCCTCAGCACCACATAAGCAGAAAAAAAAAAGCCGGAGTGGCGCTGTGGCTCAAGTGGTAGAGCGCTCGCCTTGAGCTGAAGAGCTGAGGGACAGCGCCCAGGCCCAGAGTTCAAGCCCCACGACCGGACCCCCCCCCCCCCTCCAAAAAAAGAAAGGACAAACAGACAAAAACAAAAAGCAAGCATCTGAATCTTACCAACTTAAAAAGTCAACTCAAAAAGTCAATAACCTTTTCTCCAGGAGCAACAATTACTCTTTATTTCTATATACTCAGTCACTTATACTTGACCACTGTGCTCTGAATAATCAAATAAACACACACTAAACTTTATCCCGGATCAGCACCCCTCTTACTGCTAACAAGCAATCGTGTCTTAGTCCTCAGCACCTTTTAACCCTGTCTGGTCACAGGAAATCAAGTTCCTCCCAATCTGCTCTTCCTTACCTCTCCAAATGATTGCAGCAAATGTTGTCTTTCTGGCCCTCAGATTCATCCCCTTCCTCCCACTTCTAACCCACAATGCACTGCTGTCAGCTTCCTGATGGAGCTGCTCACCATGCATCTCCCCTTCTGACTCGGGGCTCCCCACTCCCATCAGAGGCTAAATAATCCATCGTATCAGAGGCTTCCTCATCTGAAGCACGGTGAGCAGCACCCCGGCACTCCTCAGGGCGTGAGGGGGGAGGAAAGACCGTCAAGGAGGCAGGGTACCAAACACCAGTGGATGCTGTGAAAACGCTGACAAGCCACCCTAGAGCCGAAGACCCGGTCACACAGCAAGCCCACTGCGACTCAGTGAACCTCAGCCACACAATCTCACAGCCAGGCGAAGGCACGTCTCAGACTCGCTCTGCTCGAACTCACAGTCTGCCTCGGGCGCTGTTCCGCTCTGGGCTGCCGTATTCTAACATGAACCCCATTTTGTCTTCTAGACGCAACTCAAACATGAGTGCCCTTCTAGCGTTCCCTGGTGGCCTCTCCATCCTCGCCAGCCGGCTCCCTGTGGTGCACTTGCAGTGCTGCGCGCACCTCCCGTGACTGAAGGTCTGGGAAAGCTCCCTGGGTGAAAGTCAGCCGTGCTTTAGGGAGGCAGTAACCAGTTCAACGAGGACTCCACACCGAACCTGCTACTGTTCAGTGTGGGGGCCTTGGGGCTAAGTCCGTGTCACCAGTACAAAAGGAATAGACTCTACTTTACATCAAGTTTTCCCGAGAGCACTCGAAATGCTTGGTGGAGGGGATGCACAAAGCCTCCCAGGTAAGAACTACATGCAGACACAAATGCGGATTTATGTGTCACACGGAAAGGTCTGTGATTTCCTTGTGTGTGGATGTGCCTTGGTCCTAATCGTGAATTGAAAGAACCCTAAGGGTTGCGGTCTCATGAGCCCCTCCCTCACCAGCCAGTAATAACCCAATCATTACCAAATCCTGCTGCCTTTACCTAGCATACGCTCCAGTCCTTCCTCTTGTTCCCTTCCCTATCGATGCCTTCCTACTGTAAACCACTACTACTCCCTGCCTGGACACCAAAATAGTCTTCAACCATCTGTCTTCCACATGCACTCAGAGCACCCTGTCTACCCTCTCTACCTGTACAAATTATCTGCGCAGCAACCCAGAATATTCCCCTGTGCACACCCACCAAGGGCTCCTCCCTGTCTCCCTTACCAGTATACTTACAATTCATCCTTTAAAGTTCAGTTTAAAATGAACCCATGGCTCATGCGGGGAATCCTAGCAGCTCAACAGGGTGAGACCTGAGGATTGTGGTTCAAAGCCAGTCTGGACACAAAAGTCTATTAGACTCTTTATCTCCAATTAACCAGCAAAAAAAAAAAAGCTGTGGTTTAAGTGGCTGAGCACTAGCCTTGAGCAAAGAAAAGCTCAGGGACGGAGCCCAGGCCCTGAGTGCAAGCCCCAGGTCCAACACACACACACAGACACTAACCAAGCCTTAAAGGAATCGCTCGTGGATCCTTCAAATGAGACGCACACCCTCTACTTACTGATCGGAGCGGCCTGTGAGTGGGCACTACTTAGGCACCAGCGTGGGGGCGGGGGCGGGGCTGGGGTCAGGCAGGTGGCTCAGCACCCCCGTTTTCCATCACTGCTGTCACTAGCACCCAGGGGCACACTCCACAGCTGTCTGACCGCTGACTGCACCTGCCCAACCGCGAAGGGCTTCCTATGGGCCAGGACGCTCGCTGGGGGAGAGACAGGGAGGAGGGGAGAGCGGTGCGGGTCGGGGGCCTGGGGACGGCGTGGGGGCGCTTCTGCTCCGATTGCGGCGGGGCTCGGTGTGCGGCACGGGGGCGGGTCCGAGCTCCGGGCACGGCTGACCAGGAGCGAGGGAAATGAAAACGGCGAACGCGGGTGCGGGCTGGGACCTGGGGGGCGATCCGGGCCTAGCTCCCTGGAAAAGACCTGGCTCGGTTAGCAGACTTCCCCGGGTGGAGCACGCGTCTGGGTGGAAAGCCAAACGCGTCGGCATGGGTGGGCTGCCTGGAGGAGGCTCTCGGGTGGGCCTGGACGACCTGGGCCACCAGGACCATCCCCGGGCCCCGCCCCTCCGACCCCGCCCCGGACCACAAGCCCCGCCCCATCCAGGAACCCAGGCCCCGCCCCTCCAACCCCGCCCCAGACCACAAGCCCCGCCCCATCCAGGAACCCAGGCCCCGCCCCTCCAACCCCGCCCCAGACCACAGGCCCCACCCCTCCGACCCCGCCCCGGACCACAAGCCCCGCCCCATCCAGGAACCCAGGCCCCCTCCCCGGCCACAAGCCCCACCCTATCCAGAAACTCAGGCCCCGCCCCTCCAACCCTGCCCAGAACGGAAGGCCTCGCCCCTGCCAGGCCCCGCCCCATGCCCAGAGCCCCCCCCCTCTCAGTCAAGCCCCGCCCCCACACCACTCTATCTCATCCCAGGCCCCTCCCACTGGGCCCTGGGGCCCTCCCACCCGGGCCCTGGGCCTCTCCCACCCGGGCCCTGGGCCCCTCCCACCGGGCCCTGGGCCCCTCCCACCCGGGCTGAGGCCCCTCCCACCCGAGCCTCCTCCCACCGGGGCCCTGGACCCCTCCCACCTGGGCCTCCTCCCACCCAGGCCCTGGGCCCCTCCTACCCGGGCCGAGGCCCCTCCCACCGGACCCCGGGCCCCTCCCACCCGGGCTGAGGCCCCTCCCACCGGGCCCGGGCCCCTCCCACTCGGACCATGGGCCCCTCCCACCCAAGCCTCCTCCCACCCAGGCCCTGGGCCCCTCCCACCGGGCCCGGGCCCCTCCCACTCGGACCATGGGCCCCTCCCACCCAAGCCTCCTCCCACCCAGGCCCTGGGCCCCTCCCACCCGGGCTGAGGCCCCTCCCACCCAAGCCTCCTCCCACCCGGGCCCCGGGCCCCTCCCACCAGGCCCTGGGTCCCCTCCCACCCGGGCCCCTCCCACCCTGGCCGAGGCCCCTTCCACCCGGGCCGAGGCCCCTCCCACCGGGCCCCGGGCCCCTCCCACCGCGCCCCGGCCCCGCCCCGCGCCCCCCGCCCGGCCCCGCCGCCCGCGGGCACCTGGAACTCCAGCGTGCACTTGGTGCCCTGCACCACGTCCTCGTAGAAGCACTGCTTGGCGTTGTCCGGCAGCTCGAAGGTGATCTCGGAGGCGCCGCCGGGGCCCGGCAGCAGCGGTAGCAGCAGCAGCAGCAGCAGCGGCGGCAGCGGCGGCGGCGCGGGCGGCCCGCAGCCCCAACGGCTCCTGGCGGGCGCCCCGCGCGGCGCCGCCCCAGGCCTCGGCATCCCCGGGCGGCGGCGGCCTCCACCGGGCGGCGCGGGGGTGCGGGAGAGAGCGGAGCGCCCCGAGCCTCCGGACAGGGCCGCCCCGAGGCCTGCGCCCGGGCAGCAGCGACCGCGGAGCCGAGGCAGTGCCGGCGGAGGAGCGGACGGAAGTGAGGGGGAGCGCTGGCGCGGAAGGGGCGGGGCCTGCGGGCACCTGCTCCAGGCACCCGGATGTGGACTTCCCAGAGTGGGGAGGGGGGCGAGTCGTCGGAGTGCGTACGTGGAAGCACGGGAGGCCGCGGGGATGAGAGGCGTGGCCAGCGTGAGGGCGTGAGGGCGGAGCCAGGTGGAGGGGCGGGGCCTATCCAGGAGTCCTCTGGGCCTGCGTCACGACGTGGGGAGGGGCCAGGTGGAGGGGCGGGGCCTATCCAGGAGTCCTCCGGGCCTGCGTCACGACGTGGGGCGGGGCCAGGTGGAGGGGCGGGGCTAGGAGTCCTCCAGTACGGGCGAGATGCCGCGGGGTGGAGCCAGGGGAAGGCGGGGCCCGGAGGGGCGGGGCCAGGTGGAGGGGCGGGGCTAGGAGTCCTCCGTTATTGGCGAGATGCCGCGGGGTGGAGCCAGGGAAGGCGGGGCCCGGAGGAGGGGCGGGGCCCGGAGGAGGGGCGGGGCCCGGAGGAGGGGCGGGGCCAGATGAGGGCTCATTTTACCCGGAGAAGTCAGTCCCGGGTGCGGAGGCTTCGCCGACACTGCCGTGCCGAAGCCGCGGGTTCTGATCTCCCCTCTGCCCCTTCCTGGCTCGGGGCTGGTTGCTTACGCCCTGTCCCCACATTTGGCCTGGCGATCGGTTAAGGGAGTCCCCCAAGGTAGATCCGCTTTGCCCTCGCTGGTTTGACGATCCGGAGCAGCCCCCCAGGTCGGTGGCCGACACTCGCAGGCCAGCAACCCAGTCTGGAGACCCACAGCTCATGAGATGGCCCGTGAGCTCCAGTTGCTCATCTCTGGCCATTGGGGAGGTGATTTTAGGCTACAGGCCTAGTATGATGGGGTAGGTTATTATTATGTTATTATTATTTTCGGTAATGGGACTTGAACTCAGGGGTCTGGGCGCTGTCCCCAAGCTGTCTTTTGCTCAAAGCTAGGGCTCTACCACTCTGCGCCGCAGTTCCACTTTCAACTTTTTAGTGAGAAGAGTGTCAGGGTCTTTTCTCCCCCAGGCTGGCTTTGAACCGTGATCCTCAGATCTCAGCCTCCTGAGTAGCTGGGATCACAAGTCATGAGCCACCGGTGCCCGGTTATATATAAACCCACCTTTGGGTTTATATGTAAAACAAATGCCTTCCTGCTTTACAAAATAGAAGTTTGAGATGGTAACAACCAACACCACCATCCTCCTGAAAAACCAGCTGTGCGTGGAGGGAGGGCAGCTGCTTGCCAACCCGCAGGTGGCCTTGAGGACCACAGAAACTGTCACCCTCCTCTCCTGTCTTTCCCTCCGCTCCAGTGCCAACCAGCCACCAGGCGGAGCTGCTCGCCTTTGGATGTTTCTATGCAGCCTACAAACACCCTGTTTGCTTCTGACGTTCCCAGACACGCTTGAGGGAAACTTCGTATTTTAGACTGGAAGAAGAGGAAGGTGGGAATGAGAAGGGATGGACGAACAAACGGGTCCTGAGAACGCCTTGCCAGCTGCACTGCTGGGAAATCCCTTTCCGGAGCCTGGACTTGGGCAGTGCTGAGCGGCTGAAGAATCTTAACCAGGGGAGAGCCTCATTAGCATTCTGCTGGCAAAAGAGCCTTCTGGAAGCTCTAAGAAGACTGAATGAGAGAAGAGCCAGTATGTGAATAAGGAAACTGGTGGAACGCTGTTACACTGACCCCATAAAGGGTGGTGGCGACCAGAAATAACCATGGTTGGCTGGAGTACAGTGGATAATTATCAGTCAGGAGAGAGATAAAGATACTGGCTAGGAGTGGAGGAGAGAGACAGAGAGAGAGAGAAAGAGAGGGAGAGAGAAAGAGAGAGAGAAAGAGAGGGAGAGAGGGAGAGAGAGAGAGAGAAGGAGAGAGATTAAATGAGACAGCTGTATTCAAGGCTTCAGAGAAATATAAAAGGGCACAAAAGGAAGTGTACCGTCCTTGAAGTGCTGGGACTTTTGTGTCAGTACTGAGACGTGAACTCGGGGCCTAAGTGTTATCTCTTAGCTTCTTTTGCTCAAGGCTGGCTCTCTACCACTTGAACCATAGCTCTACTTCTGTGGTTTTTGGGTTTTTTTTGTTTTTGTGTTTTGTTTTTGGTGCATGTTTAGAGATCAGTGTCTCATGGACTTTCCTGCCTGGCTGGCTTCAAACTGCGATCCTCAGATCTCAGCCTCCTGAGTAGCTAGGATGTCAGGCGTGAGCCACCGGCGCCCAGCTCTATTGCCTTTTATAATTATCAGAACTACATTTATTAGGAAGCTTTCTTGGAGACATTCACAGATCCGCCCACCCCAGCAGGAAGCCCAGCTTTATTGAGTCATCCCCACAAGCGGTGCTCAACCACGTGAACCACGTCTCTGCTTCCATCTTACTAGGGGCTAGTGTGTTTTAGCTGCAGAGGAAAACGGCAGTGCTCATGTTAAAAACAGCGTGGTTTGAAAATATTTCCTGCACCAAGAACTTCAGAATCCATTTGCATCCTCATCTTCTGGACTTTATGGCATGAGTTAGTCAATTCTTGGAGTCCTCATTTTTCATAAAGCTCCTTGTCCCTACCCTGGAGCTGTAGCTCACTCTTGCGTTCAGATTCTGGTTACTCTCCAAGCCACCGTGAGGTGCCCAGAAGCTTTGATTCCCCCCTCCCCCAGCTTTCTTCAGATGACATGGACAGACCTATCAAAAGCTAGGTAGTAGTCAAAAGTATCTTGGATTTCGGGGTTCTCGGGGCCCTAAATGAGTCCTCACATCTTATCTCCAATGAACCACTGGAAAACCGGAAGTGGCGCTGTGGCTCAAGTGGTAGAGCGCTCGCCTTGAGCTGAAGAGCTGAGGGACAGCGCCCAGGCCCAGAGTTCAAGCCCCACAACCGACAAAAAAATAAATAAATAAAATAAGAGGGGGCCGATATCAGAGGCAGCCTAGGGATTCCCGCAACTCTTTCTGATTCCTGCAGATGCTTCCTGCAAATCACCACTCAGGATTCAAGTTCATATTTTCCAGAGCAAAAACAGTGGCCAGAGGCTGTGGCCTAAGTAGTAGAGCGCCTGCCTAGCAAGTTAAGTTAGCGCTGTTAAGTAAGCCCTGAGTTCAAACCCCCAGTACCTAAAAAAAAAAAACCAAACCAGATATAGTCTCTGAATTAGGCCCCACTATACACATTATACACATTTGTTTTGAAAATTCCCATCAGAAACAGGAAAAGAGACAAAAGGAGAGAGAAAGAAATAAAAAGATAATGTTTAAAGGTGCCAAAGGGAAAGAGTTTATCTCACACACCATACAAGGTCTGAAAAGCCAGCGTGTTCTCTTCCTGTGACCCTGGAGAGGATACTGGTACTCTGTCTAAACACCCTGGGCTCTGGGTTACCGTGTTCCCCTAAGCCTTCACATAATGATACTTTATGCTTGTTTATAAAAAGAAACTTTCTGCAGCTAGAGGGCAGAAATCAAGTTCTTTTCCAGGAACTGTGGCCTAGTGTCAAGCCCTGTCACAGACTATGACAGGAGTTGGGAACAGCAGTGTAAAAGAATCCACACTTCTTTCACAACACTATATAGACTAGGTATGTATATAGAGTATGGTCTTTTGTAGCTTTTTTTTTTCTTCCAGGGCTGAGGACCGAACCCAGGGCCTTGCGCACGCCGGGCGGGCGCCCTTCTGCTGGGCTAAACCCCAGCCCCTGTATATAGAGTATGGAACATACAGTATGGTATCTAGCGTGATATATCTATCTATATATGTATGTATATAGAGGATAATCCTGTATGTGTTTACATTTCTGTTTGCATTTTGGCATATGAGAGAAATGTGACCTTTCTTTTGAGCCTGACTTATTTTACTTAATGTGACAATTCCCAGGTCCACCCATTTTCCTGCAAATGATAATAGAACTTTATTCTTCTTTATGGATGATTAGTACTGTGTGTCTCTGTGTGTGTACACACACATACATACATACACATACACCTAATTTTTTAAAGTATTTGTACAGTTCAACAAGTGAAGATTACAAACACACTAGCTTTTAATCATTGCCACCCCTACACCACATTTTCTTTCCTTCTTTCTTTCTTTCTTTCTTTCTTTCTTTCTTTCTTTCTTTCTTTCTTTCTTTCTTTCTTTTTTCCCTTCCTTTTCTTTCTTTCCTTCCCTTTCTTTCTTTCTTTCCTTCCTTCCTTCTCTTTCTTTCTTTCTCTCTTCTTTTTCCTTCCTTTCTTCCTCCCTCCCTCTTTCCATCCCTCTCTCTCCCTCCCTTTTTCCTTCCCTCCCTCCCTCCCTCCCTCCCTTCCTTCCTCCCTTCCTTCCTCCCTTTATTTCTTTCATTGGTCGTGAGGCTTGAACTCTGGGCCTGGGTGCCGTCCCTCAGCTCTTCAGCTTAAGGCGAGCGCTCTACCACTTGATCCACAGCACCATTTCCAGTTTTCTGGTGGTTTATTGGAGATCAGAGTCTCATGGACTTTCCTGCCCGGGCTGGCTTTGAAACATGATCCTTAGATCTCAGCCTTCTGAGTAGCTAGGATGACAGGAGTGAGCCGCCAGCGCCCGGCCCTACCACAATTTCTTGATCCATTCATCTGTTGTGGGGCATCTGGGCTGTTTGCATAGCTTGGCCATGGTGAACAGTGCATAAGTGAACATGGTTGTGCAGATGCCTCTATTGTACTCTGACTTACATTCCTTCAGATATGTGCCCAGAGTGGTATTTCTGGGTTGCAGGGTGGTTTTGCCTTTAGTTTTCTCTTTGTGTGTGTGTGTGTGTGTGTGTGTGTGTGTAATGCACCAGTCCTGGAACTAAACTTGGGGCCTGGGCACTGGCCCTGAGCTTTCATACTCAACGCTAGCGCTCTACCGCTCGAGCCACAGCTCCACATCTGATTTTCTGCTGGTTACATGGAGATTGAAATCTCAGAGACTTTCTCGGAGACTTTTTCAGGCTGGCGTTGGCCTGTGATCCTCAGATCGCAGCTTCCTGTGTGGCTCGGCTTCCA